GAGACAGAGAGACACACAGAGAGACACAGAGAGAGACAGACAGAGAGGCAGACACACAGACAGAGAGACACACAGAGAGAGAGAGACAGAGAGACACACAGAGAGACAGACACAACAATTACAGCGCTGAGAAAAAAACCTTGATCAATTTTAGAATTAAAATAGTAAATGCATTAGATGTTTACCAGATGTTTACTAGATGTTTACTAGATGTTCTCTGAGATTATAAATATCAGAGAATAAACGGAGCTGCCGTCTGGATTTAGTTGCTCCTCTACTAGTGTTATTACGGTAAGATCGGCCTCTGAGCGAGGTGAAGGTCTTGAAAGATACATAAACACATTTTCTTTCATATTCTTTGATAAACATTTTGATCTTCTCAAAGAGGTCACGAACAGATAACTGATATGAAGCATTAATAATATGGAGACACTAACTGAAGATTAACAGAAACATTTTGTTCCAAATATGAAAGTGTTTATTTACTGAGTGTCTCTGGATGAACTCGTGTTCTAAACGTGTGTGTATGTGTGTGTGTGTGTGTGTGTGTGTGTGTGCGTGTGTATGTGTGTGTGTGTGGTGGACTCACCTGGTCCCTCATGGAGACCACCCCCCCCTCCAGGAGGCGCTGCTCCTCTCTGGTCTCCTCCAGCTCGGCTTCTTTACTCCTCAGCTGCTCCTGAACACTGAGGAGTTGCTGGAAGACAAACGATGAAGATCAGATGAGTTTATGAATGATGAATGATGAATATACATGAAGAAGCTCCTTCTTCTTCTGTGGTGCTTTAAGAGCACCGACAAGCTGTATATATGTGTAAACTGTGTATATATACATTATTAATATGTGAATATTAAGAATATATATATATATAAGTTGAATAAATAAGTTCAACTTATTAATGTATATATAAGTTCAACTTATTAATGTTCAATATAAGTTGAACATTAATAAGTTGAACATGAATAAGATGAACATGAATAAGTTGAACATGAATAAGTTGAACATGAATAAGTTGAACATGAATAAGATGAACATGAATAAGTTGAACATGAATAAGTTGAATATGAATAAGTTGAACATTACATTGATGCTAAAAACAACATGAAGGATGTTTGAGTTCACTGAACATCTGGAACGTTGATTTAAGACCAAATGCTAACAGACTGATGAAGACCGACGAAGACCGACGAAGACCGACAAAGACCGATGAAGACCGACAAAGACCGATGAAGACTGTGAGCATCGTGATTAACAGGTGACCCGTGGCTAAGCCCCGCCCCCTGGTACTACTCTCACAAAGTGTCACCATGGAGACTAGAGAGATGAATCAGAAACAGGAAGATAAAAAGATGGCCGACCTGCTGCATGTTGTGCATGTTCTGCTGCAGCATCTGGATCACTGGAGGATCTTCATCATGTCTCCCTCCACCTCCTCCTCTCTGCTCCCTCTTCAGAAGCTCCACCTCGTTCCTGTACGCCTCCAACTGCCAACGCAGGGAGTCATTCTCCTCCTTCAGAGACGCCTGGTCACATGATCCTGTGGGAGGAGAGGAGGAGGAGGAAGTGAGGAGGAGGAGAGGTGGAGGAGGAGAAGCAGACCGCGTTTTGCAGCGTAAGTTTATGTACACATATACACAAATATATATATACATACACATCTAGATATAGATATATATGTGTGCGTATGTATATTTATCTATATACATATATTCATAGAAAAAACCTTCGGAGAGATTCTAACTTTCAAAGATTAAGTTTGGAAATGTGCGAAAAAAGATCATAAAGTCATAAATTTATGAAAAAGAAACTCAGATAAATATCGGAGGCGCCTGAATTTTGTTGCTCCTTAACTATTGTACTACGGTAAGGACTGAAAGATAAATAAACACGTTTTTAAATGTTCTTTTCGTGTTCTAATATATCAAATAAAAGCAGTGTTAAACATGGGATTTTTAAACAGGAGTCTGGTTGTCGTACCGTTCTCCTCGGTGCGAAGCCTCTTACAGGGATTCTCGTCTTCGTCTTCGTCGGACATCTCCATCTCCTCCTCCCGTCTGATGCCCATGATCTCCTCACTGTGAGCCGTCCTCAGCTCCTGAGACACCAAACAGGAAGACGTCCTCAGCACCGGGACACGTCGTCATATGAACTCAATGTTGCTAATGAACAGATTAACATGTATGAAACGCATGGCTAGGAAGAAACACTTCACTAGAATGAAACACCCTCCTAGAAAGAAACACGCTGCTCGAAAGAAACGCACTGCTTGAAAGAAACACGCTCCTAGAAAGAAACGCACTGCTAGAAAGAAATGCGCTGCTAGAATGAAACACGCTCCTAGAAAGAAACACGCTGCTAGAAAGAAACGCACTGCTTAAAAGAAACACACTCCTAGAAAGAAACACGCTGCTAGAAAGAAACGCACTGCTTGAAAGAAACACGCTCCTAGAAAGAAACACGCTCCGAGAAAGAAACGCGCTGCTAGAAAGAAACGCACTGCTTGAAAGAAACACGCTCCGAGAAAGAAACGCACTGCTTGAAAGAAACACGCTCCTAGAAAGAAACGCACTGCTTGAAAGAAACACGCTCCTAGAAAGAAATGCACTGCTTGAAAGAAACACGCTCCTAGAAAGAAACGCGCTGCTAGAAGAAACACGCTCCTAGAAAGAAACGCACTGCTTGAAAGAAACATGCTCCTAGAAAGAAACGCACTGCTAGAAGAAACACGCTACTAGAAAGAAACGCACTGCTTGAAAGAAACACGCTCCTAGAAAGAAACGCGCTGCTTGAAAGAAACGCGCCGCTAGAAAGAAACGCACTGCTAGAAAGAAACGCACCGCTAGAAAGAAACGCACTGCTAGAAAGAAACGCACTGCTAGGAAGAAACACGCTGCTAGTGAGAAACACGCTCCTAGAAAGAAACGCACTGCTTGAAAGAAACGCACCGCTAGAAAGAAACGCACTGCTAGAAAGAAACGCACTGCTAGAAAGAAACGCACTGCTAGGAAGAAACACGCTGCTAGTGAGAAACACGCTCCTAGAAAGAAATGCACTGCTTGAAAGAAACGCACCGCTAGAAAGAAACGCACTGCTAGGAAGAAACGCACCGCTAGAAAGAAACGCACTGCTAGAAAGAAACACACTGCTAGACGAAATGCGCTGCTAGTGAGAAACACGCTCCTAGAAAGAAACGTGCTGCAAGAAAGAAAAGCACAGAGAGAAACACATTGATAGAAAGAAATGCGTGGCTAGAAAGAAACGTGCTGCGAGATGAAACGCTTCAAGTTTAACAGCTGCATGGTTCAAACTCCAGGTTAAGAGTCACAGGTGACATAAAGACATTAAAAGACTTCTGTAGCACAGTCTTTATGTTCCGTTCAGGAGACAATGTCCGGTTCTGAAGTGTCTTAAAGCTGCATTCTCTCTACTGTCCATCAGAGGGCGCCTCCTCCGGTTGTATAGAAGTCTATGAGCTGGTGAGGCTTCACGTCTTTCTATTCGTCGTCTCCGGCGATAGGGGACACATGTTGACTTACCACGCTAACCGCTAACGGAGGACGTTCACAACAGGACTGTCTCATCACTGAGTCTTACCTCTTCATTCACACAAAAGTAAAATATAAAGTGTGGACGACGTTCATCACGCTGGATTAACTTTAAAATGTAGAAATAAAACTAATTGACATTGTTATTATTATGAATTAAAATCGAATCACAACACAGAAGATCACGATCAGTTTAAATTGAACACTTTATTTAGAATATTATCGTCTTTAACTGAAGCTGTTGTCTTTGTGCTCTTCAAACACACGCCATAGAAACACAGAGTTAACCTCTCAGGTTTCTTCTGTGTGTGTGTGTGTGTGTGTGTGTGTGTGTGTATGTGTGTGTGTGTGTGTGTTTAATCCAAACACACAACGATCAGAAAATAGCACAATATTTCACTTTATTTCTGCATTTTAATATTTCCATATTTGGTCCCAGACTGATGAAGACTAAACACTGAACTCCTCGTCTTCATACTTTTTATCTTCATTTGAATAATTGATCTGAGACTTAAGCCTGGAAATCACTGTTGCCATAGCAACGTCTCACACACTTTCCAGATCTTTGGATCTGTGCTGCAGTCGGGGGGGACGATGAGAGGTCTGTGTGTCTGTCCATCTGTGTGTGTGTGTCTGTCCGTCTGTGTGTCTGTCCGTCTATCCATGTCTGTCTGTCTGTCTGTCTCCTGTGGGGGGGGGGGGAGACAACACAAAAAGCTTTACCAACCTCACACTGCTTTCGCCAAATGTCTATGTTCTTGCGCTGAGCTTTTGAGAAATGGTCCCATGCCTTTTGCCTGGTGGCTGCGGTGAAAACGGCGCTGATCTGCTCGACTTTGGGGTGAACAGGGAGGAGGAGGAGGAGGAGGAGGAGGGTCAAGACAAAACAAGCTGTTTATGTAGCGTAGCACTGACTGATGCTAACACAGAGGAGAGACACACTGACCACAGGAAGCCGCTGGACCTCCTCATGTCGACGTCTGTGCTGTTAAAGGAGACGTTCACTCTGACATGAAAACAGTGTCATCATGTGATCAGGTCGAACTACATGAAGGTTAGAAGGGAGGGGTCAGTGTGTGTACAAAGATCATCTGTGAGGGAAGAAACGTGCTGCTAGAGAGAATCACGCTGCTAGAAAGAAACGCGCTGCTAGTAAGAAACACGCTGCTAGTAAGAAACGCGCTGCTAGTAAGAAACGCGCTGCTAGAGAGAAACGCGCTGCTAGTAAGARACACGCTGCTAGAGAGAAACGCGCTGCTAGTAAGAAACGAGGTGCTAGTAAGAAACGCCCTGCTAGGAAGAAACGTGCTGCTAGTAAGAAACACGCTGCTAGTAAGAAACGTGCTGCTAGTAAGAAACGCGCTGCTAGTAAGAAACACGCTGCTAGTAAGAAACGCGCTGCTAGTAAGAAACGCGCTGCTAGTAAGAAACACGCTGCTAGTAAGAAACGCGCTGCTAGTAAGAAACACGCTGCTAGTAAGAAACGCACTGCTAGAAAGAAACTCGCTGCTAGTAAGAAACGCGGTGCTAGTAAGAAACGCCCTGCTAGGAAGAAACGTGCTGCTAGTAAGAAACGCGCTGCTAGTAAGAAACACGCTGCTAGTAAGAAACGCGCTGCTAGTGAGAAACATGCTGCTAGAGAGAAACGCGCTGCTAGTAAGAAATGCGCTGCTAGAAAGAAACGCGCTGCTAGTAAGAAACGCGCTGCTAGTAAGAAACGCGCTGCTAGTAAGAAACACGCTGCTAGTAAGAAACGCGCTGCTAGAGAGAAATGCGAGGTTAAAAAGGAGAGCGTGGCTAGAAAGAAACGCTGGAGATGTCCTAGGGTTTGCTAGTTAGCTGTTGGACAGTGAGAAAGCTACAGAGTATGTGAGAAGTAATTCATATCTCATGTTGTGATAGTTTCATGTCAGCTACAGTGAACGAGCTCAATATCCGTTTCCTGTTAATGACTACTGTCCAGCAGGGGGCGACTCCTCTGGTTGTATAGAAGTCTATGAGAAAATGACTCTACTTCTCTCTTGATTTATTACCTCAGTAAACATTGTAAACATGAGTTTATGGTCTCAATCTCTAGTTTCAAGTCTTCTTCAATACAGCATGATGTTCATTTAGTACATTATGGTCCATTTAGAGTCAAACAGACCTCAGTCGAGATATGGTCACTTTAGTACAGGGCTAAACTACAGGAAGTGCTACTGTGATGACGATAGAACTGGTGACTGTAGACCAGATGGTTCTCTGAGTCCTGCAGTCTTCACTGACCACATGATGACAGAATGTGGAGTAAAGTCTCAAACATTTAATGTAAAATCACTTTTATCTGTAGGATAAAAATCGAACGTTATTATTAAAATGTCTGACTCCTCTTTGACAATCTGGACTGTGATCGGGCTGCAGGTCCAGAGGGTTTAGGAGGGACACGGATTGAGAGCAACACAATATTAGTGCAGATGAACAGTGTAAATAACAAACAACATTCATGTGTGAATGTGGGAGGAGCAGCTCTCTCTCCGTACTTACATCACCTGCTGCTTCACTTCCTGAACGACTGACCAAGGCAACATTTACCCAGAACGGAGGCGGATCTTTGGACTCGTACTGAAGAGGAGGTGGTGATGTAATCGACTTGTTTGCTACAAGAATCAGAGTGAATCGAAGCCAAGCGTTCTGAGGTTAAATGTTGCCTTTCAGAAATACTCACCCCTGAGGGTTCTGAACCAACAGCCTCCTTAAATCTGCATGAAGTGATATTTCATCATCATCATCATCAGACTCTTCCTTCAGCTGACTCCTTCGGTTCCACTTCACATGATCTGAAGACGTTACTGACATTTAAACTGTTAACGTCATTAGAGGAGCTCCACTACGTCTCTGACTCATTCTGAATATATTCTTTAAGCAGTAAAATCATCTGTGAACAATCAAACTAGTTTTATAGTTTTCATTTAGTTATTTCATGTTTTATGTTTCTATTTCTTGGTTTTACTTTCATTTATTTTTCTTTTCTTTTCCTTGAAAAGCATTAAAACATTTTGAGAAAGATGCAATACAATTATAGTTTATGTCTAATGTCTAATGTCTAATGTCTAAAAGTAAATCTGAACCATTTATCAGCTCAGGAAACGAATAGCAGTACTCAGATTAAATAGTATTACCACAGTAGTGTAGAAAGTCCTGCAATAAAAACTGTACTCAAGTAGTACAAAGGTATTCTCATCAAAATATATTTAAAGTACCAAAAGTAACTAATTATGCGGAACAATATATATTATATTATTGTATAAAGTACACTATATACCTCTGAGATGTAGTACAGTATCAAGTACACTATATACCTCTGAGATGTAGTACAGTAAAAAGTACAATATGTACCTCTGAGATGTAGTACAGTATAAAGTACAATATGTACCTCTGAGATGTAGTACAGTATAAAGTACAACATGTACCTCTGAGATGTAGTACAGTATAAAGTACACTATATACCTCTGAGATGTAGTACAGTAAAAAGTACAATATGTACCTCTGAGATGTAGTACAGTATAAAGTACAACATGTACCTGTGATATGTAGTCCAGTAAAAAGTACAATATGTACCTCTGAGATGTAGTACAGTATAAAGTACAACATGTACCTCGGAGATGTAGTACAGTATATAGAACACTATATACCTCTGAGATGTAGTACAGTAAAAAGTACAATATGTACCTGTGAGGTGTAGTACAGTATAAAGTACAATATGTACCTGTGAGATGTAGTTAAGTATAAAGTACATGTACCTGTGAGATGTAGTACAGTATAAAGTACAATATGTACCTGTGAGGTGTAGTACAGTATAAAGTACAATATGTACCTGTGAGGTGTAGTACAGTATAAAGTACAATATATACCTGTGAGATGTAGTACAGTATAAAGTACAATATGTACCTGTGAGATGTAGTACAGTATAAAGTACAATATGTACAGTATGTATGTAGTGGACGTATAAAGTAGCATAAAGGGGACCTTGAGTAAATGTGTTGAGTCCATCAGAGCTGGAGGATTCCAAAGCTGAGCTCAGAGACGTTGCTGAGGGAGAGAATGTCGTCCTGCAGCTTTAAGACGAGGTGACAGTGACAAGTGTCTCTCTCTGTCTCTCAAACCTCGTGGACGACCTCGTGGATGACCTCGTGTCCGCCGCGCAGCGAGCCCAGGTTAATGGATGGGGGGGGGGGGGGGGGCGGTATCCAGGGTCATGGAGGGGGGGGGGGTGTCTCCTCGGTAATGTGACTCACTGTGTGGTGATGGCTGTTTGTTTATCAATAACATACAGATAGATATCAGATCATATCCAACAGTGGATCGTTGATTCAGGTCTAGGATGGTAAACCTGATCCTGGTCCAGCCCTCGTTGTGTATTACTGGATTATTGAACATTATTTACTGTTTAACATCTGGGTGACCTATGACCTTTTAATATCATAACCTTAATTAGACTTTATCCTGATGCCATATTAATATTATACTTACTTATTTATTCCACCTTCTTCTATCTATCCAGCTGTGAGAAACCTTTTGAACTATGAAGTCATGAGTGGAACTTACCTCCCAGAGAAGGCCGATGGACTGTGTTTAGAATAACAAAGGGTCCTTACACTGGTTGAGGATGGCCAGCAGGGCGTTCTTGAAGATCTCCTTAGCGCGCTCCATCTCCACCTCGTGCTGAGCCTTCTCACTCATCAGCCGCCGGACGTGGCTGTTGGCCGACTGGATCATGGAGTAGAAGTGATTGGCAGTCCGGCGGTTGACTTCGCCGCGGTCAATCCAGGTGAACAGCACCGCCGTCGCCTCGCAGAATTTATGGTCATCTGAAGACAACAGAAATAAAATATCAACTATCAGTTTTTACTGATCAATATCGGATTGACGATTCTTTCAAGACCAACAATAATCCCAAACCATAACAAAAAAACTATAACCTACTAGGACCCTAAACTACAACCTCAAACTGCAACCAACTACAACCTCAAACTACAACCAACTACAACCTCAAACTACAACCAACTATAACCTCAAACTACAACCAACTACAACCAACTATAACCTAGAACTACAACCAACTACAACCTCAAACTACAACCAACTACAACCTCAAACTACAACCAACTACAACCTCAAACTACAACCAACTACAACATCAAACTACAACCAACTACAACCAACTACAACCTCAAACTATAACCAACTACAACCTCAAACTACAACCTCAAACTACAACCAACTATAACCTCAAACTACAACCTCAAACTACAACCAACTACAACCTCAAACTACAACCA